TCTCTAGTTGTGATGTCAAAAGATGTAAATAAATGATGCAAAAATGAGATTTCTGAGTTTCTGATTTAAGTTTCCCAAACTAAGTTGGCTTTACAGGTATTCACTGCAAAATATATAATCATCAATAAGTCACTTTTTCTTGAGAAAAAGTTTTTTTGCTTGATTTGAGCAGATAAGACAACTTTCCAATGGAATAATTTAATTTGCCTATAGAAAAAACTGCTCTTGTACTTAAGTACCTAATATTGATATATATTTTTTCAAAGGGTATTAATACTAATTCTATTCATCTTATTTACCTTTTAAATTGAGAACAAATACACTTTTTTTTCCCCAATGTTTTTTCCTTGTCCATGTCCGTCTGCAGCAACAGGTGGGGGAGAGGGAGGCAGTTTTGCACTGCAACATGCTCCATACACTTAAACATTTTTTAGTTGTTTTAAAACCCTGATATTTTTAACCTCCTGTACACCTAAATGCCTGGAACTATTATTAATTTAGGGCTGAATAATCTGCTAAAAATGACAATGGCTTTACTTTTTTTCTTAAAAAAAAAAAAAAAAAAAGATTGTGATTGTTATTTTATTTGGATTTTTCCCTCCGGTTTTAATGTTTTTATTGAAAGGGTGCTTGTCCAAAATCTATTGGTGCAGAACTTTACTGCTGCATGAGAAAGTCTTTACTTCGACTCGTATGCATGGATCTTTGCCTTTGTGTCTTTCTAAATGTAGTGTGATCACATTCAGTGTCTCTGCCAGAATGAAAAGGATCTTATATGATATTGAAAATGCAGTTAATAACCCAGCACCCTCCTGCTGGTTTAAAAATGAGGAACTAAAAGCTGTTCCTTTCCCTGAGTTGTAAAAGCTCTTTGTCTCATTTAGGTGACCCCAGGAAATATGACCCCAGCTTCAAGGGACCCATCCAGAAAAGGTAAGTCCAGGACTGAAGTGTTGGATTTCTCTTTTGTCGCTGCGCTGCAAAAGCTGATGAAAAAATCTCTTTAATTTGGTGGATTTGCCCTTAATTTGAGCTGATGGATAAAATGATCTGCCAATGGAATACGTTTATGCACTTATAAGATAATGGAGTTTTTTTCCTATTTTTTTAGCTTAAAAATAAATCTGCTCATTCAGCTTATTGGCCAACTGTCTCACTAATCAGCTCAAATCCAGGGAAATGTATTTATTTTAAGAAATAATGTCTAGAATGGACTAATGCATTGTGATGGTTTTTAATCTGGCCTTTTCTTCCAGGGGCTGCACGGATATCATCTGCTGCATCCTCTTTACTTTAGCTGTGCTGGGTTATATTGCAGTGGGAATACTGGGTAAGTATTAACTGTTTGGTTTGCCTTAAAACAAATCATTATAAGCTGTCATTTCTAGATACTTACCTGTTATCTCTGCTTCTAGCCTGGTCCCAAGGTGATCCAAGGAAGGTGATCTACCCCACAGACAGTCGAGGCCAGTTCTGTGGGCAGGCTGGAACCCCACTAGAGTGAGTTTCCCTTTAGGAAGAAATCTTTTTCATTTAGAAATCTAAAACCTAACAATTGACCAACTTATGTGCTCCTAAAAATTCATTAGATGTAAATCTATCTTGAAATACTTGTATTTCTACTTAATTTTAGCAGGTAAGACAATTTGTTAGTTAAATAAGATGATTTACATTTAGAATAAGAAAAAAATCAAACAAAAAGAAAACAAAAGTTTAATTGGCTTATTTTAAGGGCAATAATAACACCCATCTTAATGGGAAATCTGCTTGGTTGGAATAAATCACTTAATATCTGTTTAAGTACAGTGGAATCCGATTATAGTGATCACGATGGTCCAGAGCCAATTTGAACACTAAGCAGTTGATTACTATATCCGAACTTACCCATATTTCACTTATTTTTTTATGCAGAATATCATCTAAATGCCATTGGTATGGTTTTTCAATGAGAAAAATGAAATGAAACAGCTTCTGCATTTACTGAATTTTATTACAGTACCATGCAAGTTTAATTACAGTATACTGCGCTGTGCACAGACATAACTTTGGTAGCCTATTTAACTTGTGTGCTGTGCTGCTTTTTAACATTTCTGAAAATAAAGTTTGAAACAAACGGTTTCATAGACCAAGTGCTACTTGGTCCCAATGTAATTTCACGTTGGGAACCTACTAGCACTAAGTTGCTAACTGGTTAGCAAGATGCTTCCGACAAACTGGCCACATCACTTTAACTTTATTCACTCATGTAAAGTCGTCACCAATCTGGAGAATTCAGAATTGCAACGGTTGGATCAGGCGCTTCCTTACGACTTTAAATTCTGGACTAAAATGCCTTTAAACTGTAAAATCAATTAAATATTTTTTCTCAATTTGACATTGTGGTGAATCACAAGTCTTGAAATCTGGAACTTTTCATTTTACCAATACATCGTTTTTGTTTTTCCCTATCATTAAATGTTTACGCTAAGGGTAACGGCATCAGAATAAAAACTCAGAGCTTCAGATTGAATTAATTATCCTAATTGTAATTTTATAATTTTTTGGCGTTTCTGCTTTCAACAGGAATAAGCGGCTGCTGTTCTACTTCAACATCATGAAGTGTGCCAGCCCCATGGTGCTGCTGTCGTTCCAGTGTCCGACCACACAGGTGGGACCTCAGCCGGCTTTCCTTAGTGATGCATTTAGGGGACTTGGGAAAACTCTGCTCTTGTATTTAACCGGTAGCTGGGATATAAAGACTGTTGTTTTTGTTTCTTTTACACCGTGAACACATTTATTCATACCTGACCAAACCTCCCCTGCTGTACATGTTGATCCTTAGATGTGTGTGGAGAAATGCCCGGACAGGTTTATGACCTTAGTCACAGCGTACGCCAATCAAAAAGACTTTGATTACTACAAAACCTTCTGCAAAGAAGGAGTAACTAATAACATGGTGAGTTTCCTTTTTTTTTTTTGTTCATCTTTTCCCTTTTTCAGCATCATTTTAACCCCTTAACTGTATGGGATTAATGGCCTCATTGTTTTTTTCCTTCCTCTCTTGTTCTGCAGGGTGTACCAGCGATTGTCGGAGCAGGTCTCTGTCCCACTATGTTGACCCCCAGCAAACCATGTGAGTGGATTCCCTGCAGACACGGTGCCCTCCAAGTATCTAGACTTCTAAAACTTTGTCACACTAAAATAAGAATAAGAGCAGGGAAAGAATATTTGTTCCTTTTTTATATTTTTACAAACTAAGCAATACAGGTGCGTTCGTACCGGATGAGTGGAGCGACAGATTTGAATGTTATCCCTATTTACAGGAGGGACGCCACAGACACTTTTCTAGCAACACCATATGAGGTTTCGGGGATTCTTAGGGACATAGGAATGACGCTACACCTGCAAAGGATGCGGAGCGTCGGTTGCAAGTGTTGGAAAATCTGAACTTTTTCACAACATGACAACCAATCGGGGAATGAATGTGGCCTTCACTTAGACCTCAATTATTTTCTGTTACGCCTCCCTCTAGCAAAAAGAAAACTATTCGCGCTACCCCACTCCTCACCGTGACTATCCATCTCTGCATAACATTTTATCCTTATTAACATTAAAGAAAAGAAAAAAAGACATATGGTCAAACTTACAAAGAATAATTTTATTAAATTGTGTTTTAAGTTTGCCACAGAAAAGATTTTAAGTGCATCAATGCCTGAAATTAAAAATAAATAAATCCTTGTTTATCCCAGTGATGGGCTGCTATAATGAACCACTATAAATGTCTTGTTTATCCCATTTACTGAAGTAGCCTTCACAAAGCGGTATGACTGTTGGCAATATTCAGCCCGTTTTCGCTGAAAAAAACTCTAGAGGCTTATCGGCGTGTAACGTATTTAAGTGACGCGCTAACTTATTTGGCTTCATGCTGTCCAATGCGAACGTTTTTAGACACACCAAACACACCGGTCTTTCCTCTTCTCCAACTGTAGTCACAGTGAAGCCAAGCGCTAAATACGTTTCGCCGTATTTCCTCGTTTTGGCTTTCGGGTGATTTTCTTTTGTCTCTTATCTTTGTGTCTCTCCGCTTTTCTTTTCTAACCTGACAACAGCCAGATGCATGTCTCGCTCCGCCTAGCTCCACTCACATACATCTGGGACACTGCCATAGCCTTTACTGAAGGCTGGGCCTTATCAAAACTCCTTGCATATGATTGGATAAGCCACTTGTCTGTCATCTTTATCGACGTGCTATTTCAACCACTCACACCGAAGCTAACCCGTGACGCTGTGAGAGCTACGCAGGAAAAAAACAAAACAGAACAGCCGACATCTTGGATATAGCAACAGTGGAATCAGCGCAATGTCGGTAAATGATCAATGTTGTTTGTGCCATGAAAATGTGCGGATAAAAGGCAACATTGTGCACAGCAGACTTATTTTTAAAAAAGAAGCCAACCAAAAAAGTATAGACGAACGACTTACAGAACTCACTTCTCCACTACGTCACATGCAGGACACACCAGCCCTGCGTCCTGATTGGCCAGACCATAAATTCGGTTGGGGAAATCACTTTCAATGAGCGGTGTCCCAGATGTATGTGAGTGGAGCTAGGCGGAGCGAGACATACATCTGGCTGTTGTCAGGTTATTTCTTTTCATCCCTGTTAAAAACTTCTTCATGTTGGGGTTTATGTTTAATAACGGAGGCTATAGACAGAACGCAGTCGGAGCTTTCTGTTGACTCAACACTGCTAACCAAGGCAAACCTGTTGTCTTGTAAGTCGTAAAATGTTGCACTGTCGCAAACGTGACAGAAGTAACAATGACAGCGCCACTGCTGCCTACTGTAGTGGATGCACAATGACACTTTAGACTAGTACGGCCAAAAAAAAGCCTGTTGCCCAGGGTCACACGCGCCCCCCCAGGTATCGCCCTACTATTTTAGAAGCACTGATTTAGACTGAAGGAGCCCAACAGAGACTACGCATTTATTTTTTTAATAATGCAAGATGGAAAACATTATGTAAGGATTGCTCTAAGAGGTTTGTCAGTGCCACTGTTTGACTTTCCATAGTGAATAAAACACCATGACTCACTCTGTAAAATCCACGTCTGCTATGCTGATTTGAAACCAACCAGCAGCAGATAGAGGCTCCTTTAAACGGCACAAGTGAAGATCGTCACCCGTTTGTTTAGTGTAGAACAATTTTTTATTCTAGCAGATTCTGTTAGATTCTTTCTTTTGAGAAAATTCAACTCAAAACGTGCAACAATCAGCCAGTGGATTAAAACAAAAACACTTGGTAAGACCTCTTGAAATCATGATAAATACTATTCAAACTCTTTCTGCACTTTCAGATTATTGCACTAATTCTGATTTGAAAGTCTAACAGCATCTGCTCTTGATTAGTATATCGAACTCAAAACAAGATCGAAAAACACTTTTTGGCCACGCATGGATAGGTTAAGATGCAGAATTTAATTTCTTCATTGTGAGATCAATGATATTCAATTATCAATAATATTATTGCTCTTATCTATAAAGCATTCTCTATAAAAAGATGTTTTTTTGTATTTGTCTTGTTTAGGATCTTTACCGCTGCTGTTATTATGGTTCATAAATTTTACCCTGTATACGTATACCTTTTTTTAATTTTTTTTTTTTATTGTGTGTTTATTTTTTCTGTTCTGCCCCTTTAGTCACCCGTAGGTGCTTCCCAGATTTAGGCATAAAAGGAGGTGTGATAACTGTAGGAAACAAAACCAAGTTTAACGATGGACAAAAGGAAAGAGACGCCAAGGACCTTTTGGATGGAGTGAAGTGAGTAAATCGGTCATGAAGCTTTATTGAGTTGCTTTATACAATGATCCAAAATACCACAAAAGCAGCTCTGAAACACTGATCTCTATTTATTCACTGGATTGCCTGAAAAAAGTGAAGCTGAATGTTAGTGTCTGGTACTCCCCACTCCCACAGAGATGTGCAGTAAAAATGCCTACATGCATTATGCATATTACGTCTATTGCATTTGGTTGCAAAACAAGCAGTTTGCCGGCTCTGGGAAGTTTTTTCACAGGTAATTTCACTGTCAGTGTGTGCAAACTAGAGACTGAAATTTTTTTCGGGAATCCCACGGGTCACGGGATTCCCGTGGGATGGGAGTCAGTATTAATAACGATAACATGTTTGGGACGATACAGGATTAAACATTAACGGGAGCGGGAACAAACCAATAGTAACTAAAAAAACTAGAATCGATGCCAAAAAATAAAATGGAAAGGAAAAAAAATCCAGTACTGGCGCTGCCATTTTGTAGTTTTTTTTCCTTGAAGCATACACTATAATGTGAGTCAAAAAAAACTACACGAACCAAAAACCAACAGTCTGGAGCAGAACTCTGAGTTTTTCACCCGCGCTCAAAAACCACAAGAATGGGAGTGGTGCAGGAGCAGGAGTCATTCTGAATGGGAGTGGGAGTAATTTCACCAGGAGTGGGACGGGACAGGATTTAGATTTCTACTCTGGCCCAGGATCGGAACGGGACACAATTTTTTTTTCTGTGGGAGTGGGACGGGAGAGGAGTGAAAATCCACTCCCGTGTCAGTCTCTAGTGCAAGCATAGCTGTATGTATAGTTTTTTCAAATTGTCAGATTCTTTTTGTAAATAAAGCTAAATATCAACTTGATGTTGCCTGTTATTTTACCAATTGATGTGCTTTGCAAGTGTAGAAACGAGCTCTGTGGAGTTACTAAATTGGTTCATTAATTTAGCTCTATTGTAATTCTGTCAGATTTTAAAGCTAATGCACACACAGTATAAAATGGCATCATTCATGCACAATTTGCAAATAGAAAAATACTATAGCATTAACAGACATGTACTTGTAATTCAGTCTTTATGTAAAAGCTTTAAATTATATGCAAGATATGATAACCATAACAATGTAATACACGTTTATTACATATAAATAATCTTTTGGCACATCTGTATTATGCTCCATTAACACATTGATTTTGTGTAATATATCGTTTTACGTGATTTATTGACTTTTCACTGACTATGCAATGTGTTGTGCCTATTTATTATTATAAGTTAAAGTAATCTACTTATGCTATGAAACAGCCAGTGTGTGTCAAAGTGAGGAGTTTATCTTTATTTTGAAAGTCTTAAGTCCTCCTGAAATTGAGAACATCATCGTTGTTGGATGCTGTTGCGCACGTATTGTTTATATTGCAACCGGTCTAATAATGGAGTACCAATATGGCTGCCGGTGGCTTCACTTCAATCCTGTACCACCAACGGGCAATCAGCGATCCAGTGACTAGAGATCAGTGCTGTGAAGGTGATCAGGTTTCACACTGTGGAAACAAATCTCTTCTCAGGAATGCCACTGTGGTCATGGAGGCTCGTCAGGTGGTTCTGAAAATCTTTGAGGATTATACACAGTCCTGGTACTGGATCCTCATGTGAGTAACCAATCATTGGCCTCCTGCTCACTCTTGTTTTACAGTTTATTTCTTTATTTTAAATGTGACCATTTCTGTACCTAATATTTTCTCCTTCCTCTGCAGNAACAAATCTCTTCTCAGGAATGCCACTGTGGTCATGGAGGCTCGTCAGGTGGTTCTGAAAATCTTTGAGGATTATACGCAGTCCTGGTACTGGATCCTCATGTGAGTAACCAATCATTGGCCTCCTGCTCACTCTTGTTTTACAGTTTATTTCTTTATTTTAAATGTGACCATTTCTGTACCTAATATTTTCTCCTTCCTCTGCAGAGGGCTGGTTATTGCCATGGTCCTTAGCCTGCTTTTCATCGTCCTCATGCGCTTCCTGGCTGGCGTTATGATCTGGATCATCATCATCGCTGTGATATGTGTATTAGGATACGGTAAGTGTTAAAAAAACAGCTAATTCTCTTCTATTATGATCAACTGAATGAGGCAGACTCAGAAAAAGATCTTAGGCGCTTGGTTGTATTATTATTTTTTTAGGCTGCAGGACCATGGAAACTAATGCTTTAAATCATTTCAACTAGTTTTACTCTTTTCCCTCTAATCTACTTGTTTTTAAGCTAATGAACTGGTAGATTGTCTCAATAACTGAGAACATCTGATAATATAAAAGCAATGAAATCCACAATAAACACTTTTATTTTGAAAGGTTTAGCTTTTTCATTGGATCTTTGTCGTGGTTTGCTTTAATCTTCCATCATTATTAATGACGGTCACTTTAAATTATTTGTGATTACATTAAAATTAAATTTTTAATTTTTTCTGAATAATCTCAGCTAAAGAAAAAATAACTTTTTAAAATGTATTTTAATGAAGCAGCTGATTTTTAACTCATGTCGTGACATAAAAGGTGCTCTTTTTATTTAAGACATCTCTACGCTTCATTTTTTTATCTTCAGGCTTGCACTATGTTACGTCTTTTTTTTATTAAACATTTTGAACAAATGAACAAAATCACGTGGTATGTACAAACATGAAGTCAATTTTTACAGGCTTAAGGCACACATATGGTTATAAGGCAATAATAAAACAGAATGACGCAAACAAAAACAAAAAAGAAAATAAAAAGACAAGGGCGAATTATGTTGCGTGTTTATCTAGGTTTTTATTTTGAAAAAATTGTCGAGAAACCTTCGTCTTTCAACGGAAGAAAATGCTAAAAGGAATTGACAAAATCCAAAAACAGGCGGGTTTTTTTTTCTTAGGTTTTTCTGGTTTTTCATTTATAAATTCTGGTGACAAGTCAGGAAAAACGACTTTGTTTTCTGTTTTTGATTTGTAAATGGGAAAACGGAAGTAGTATCAGTTTTTGGTTTTAGTTTTCAAGATGAAAAACGAATTGCCTTAACATGCAACACTCCCTACTCATAGACTTAGGCCAACTTCCAATTCTCTCACTTGCACTTGTTTTATTCCCTAGCACTCGGTTTTGCACATTCACGTGTAAGGTTGGTATGTCCCAATACTTTAAAGAGCTAGGGGGAAGTGCCCTCATACACTTAAAATAATCCCTTCAGACTGAGTGAGGTTGGGAGCTGACTTCCCAGAGCTCATTCAATAAAAGGTAAAATAACTGCAAAAATGTACACATATTTCTACAATTAACCGCACACAAAAAAAAAAAAATAAAAATGTTGGGATATCTTGGTTAGATGTAAATCCAACTGAATTCCTTACTGTTGTGTTAAAACATGAATATTGCTAAATAGCTATTTTTCGTAATACACAATTCTACCAAGATATTTTTTATTATTTTTTTACATAAAGTAGGATGATAATGACCGTGGTGGTTGGAGGTTGGATGTCGGGGCTCCATGTGGTCAGCGGGATCTAGCTCACGGTTGATCCGAGTGAGTTACTCCGATTTCAGAAAGCGTCTCTCAGTTCCTCTGGGTGGCGCTGGGTCCCTCGGTCAGATCCTGCTGGCTGCGCGGGGCTTGGGTGTCCTGTGTCGGGCTTCTAACAAGCTTCCCTGTGGTATAATTATGCATGACGGCTTTTAACAAAATCATGTTATCACTGGAACTCGGAGAGAAAAGGTACTGGGCCTTAGACTTAGACTCAACTTTATTTATCCCTTGGGATCACTCCTTCAGGGAAATTCTGGTTCCAGTAGCTTATATAGAGTACAAAGAGTTAAAGCAAGATTCCATTAAAGATAAAAATATGTTAGACATAAAAAGAGTGTATATAGTGCAAAAAAGCATATAAAAAAGTTGTAATGTCCTGGAATACGTTTCCCTTGGATATAAAAATATCTGCACAGTAGAGAGCTGAGGGAAGACCAGGGCTGGGCTGGGAGATTTTTTCAGGCCAGGAGTCATTCATGTAACCAGGCAACCCTGACTTTAAGAAACACTTTAGATTTTAAAATGTAAAAATGTTCTTTTCTTTTTTATTTTATTTAAAAATGTAATGTATAATATGGATACATAAAAACCTAATTTTGTTTCAGTGTTAAATTCTTTTTAAAGTAAGATTCTAATTAAAAATGTCTCTGGACCTTTACTGGTTGATCTTTATTGACCCTGCTGTTTTTTAATGTGGTCTACACAGTAGTTGGCATGTGTTATTGCACAGTGAGATCAGAATATTGCACCTGGGTGACATTAGGTAATGTTATGCATAAGATGTCCAAGGAGGGAGGTGCTAACCCTTTCCCTCTTCCTATCACTTCCTTTTTTGTTCTAATGATTAAAAAATGTCAGATTCTTCTTGTAGAAACTAGAAACTTTGTGTTTTGCTGCTTCAGGCATCTTCCACTGCTACATGGAGTACGCTGACCTGAAGGGAGAGCCGGGTGCTAATGTGACCCTACAGGAGCTGGGCTTCCAGACGGACTTCTCCATCTACCTGCAAGTCAGACAAACGTGGCTGGCCTTCAGTCAGTACTTGCATACCTCTGCATTTTCTCACAGAAAAAAAATTTATTTTATTCAAATGAGATTACTCACTTTTTTTTTTTCTTCAATCTAGTGATTATCCTGGCCATCGTGGAGGTCATCATCATCCTTCTGCTGATCTTCTTAAGGAAGAGGATCCTCATTGCCATTGCTCTCATCAAAGAGGCCAGCAGGTCAGAAATAATCAAAGTACTTTTAAAAACATGATGAAATAATGACGCCTCACTATCCTTTAATTCCCAGATTAAAGTCTGCCCTAACGGCCAATAGGGAGAAAATTAAGTAGAGGCCTTCTTGTAGCATAACCTTTTACTTCCCTAGGTGTTAAGGCGGGGCAATTAACTGCAATATCATAAAGAAAAAGCATTTTCAAATCTATTTAGTCACATAACATTTAACAAAAGTAAAACTCTGACTTGCTTCCTTCCTCTGGCTATAAAGTTTTTATGTTTATAATGGTTTTGCTGTCTTTATAAAGAAGAGAGCTGCGACTAGTGTGCAGAACCATGCATGAGCTGTGTTGCTTTACTTAGCAACTTTTCAGACTCTCTACCCTCGTGTTTTTTTTTTTTTTTTTGTTCCATGAAAACTGCTACTGATTTAAATGTGTCAGTGGTGTGAAAGCACCGACCGCTCAGTTTCTTTCTACAGCAAGCGTTGCTGTGAGCCCCTCCCTCCTCTAAAGCACTGACAGGCAGTCAGACTCTGCAGCAAACTGCGCTTTAGTCTGTAAATGAGTCACACATTGAAACTTTTGTTCTGCAAATATAATATTTAACTTAATGTTGTTTATTTTTGTTTGAAGCTGTTGTACTAAAATAGATCCCCTCTGTATCTACCCTATGCATTTGCTTTATGTATATAATTTTTTATTTTTTTTTTTTTTGGGATTTAAAGATTTTTTTTTTTTGTAGTTTTGATTAAATATTACTGAATAGAAAGCTTTTTAGTAAAATCATAATCACATTATTGGCTAAAAAAATAATAATAAAAATCAAATTTTTATTTTTAATTTAATTAATCATCTGTAATTTTGCATTAGCAGCTTTCTGACCTGTAACTGTTTTCTTTTTCAGAGCCATTGGACATGTGATGTGCTCCCTGTTTTACCCACTCTTCACTTTCCTCCTCCTGGCGATTGTCATTGCTTATTGGGCAGTAACTGCTGTGTATCCTTTATGCTCCACATTTCTCTTTTGCCTTTTTGATCTTTTAGAAAAAATTATCTCATTTAATAATTTTATCCATCCTATAACGGGACATAAAATAGATAAAACTATAGTTTCTATCCGCAGCTTTTCTAAAGACGCTGAGATGTAGCAGACAGTTCAGCAGATCGGCCAGCAGTGGGCAGCATTTCTGTGATTCCACTTTTAGATCTGACTTGACTGGGAGTCCTGCAGACTTTAGTGGATAACCTGACATAAGCGCTGTTCCTCAATTCACAAGAACACGAGTACGGACTCGTTGCTTTGCCAAGTATGTCCTTGAGAAGAACAGAGGAGAGTATGGACTCGGGGAGAACGCGAGCATGCAGCATAAATATGTGACAACTCGAACAGAAGCGTACACGCTCGGCTCGTCTAGAGCTGCATTTCACCTGTTATTAATAGTCTCTAGATGATAATAAATTCTTTTCAGTTAGTGGGGGACTAATGATTAACAGTCAGATAAACATGTGTTATTCACACACGTCTATGCAGAGAGAGCGCTGCTGCAGATGGAGTAATTTTAGCCCTGCTGCTATTAGACTCGGATGTTTGCTGGTTGCTGCCGTCCTCTCGACTTCTCGCCTCAAATGATCTTAAAACGTGCTTTTATAGAACAACAGCAACAGAAAAGAGATCATATAACTTTATTTTCTGAGCTTTCTAGGTGCTCCATTGAAAGCTGCNCTGATTTAGACTGAAGGAGCCCAACAGAGACTACGCATTTATTTTTTTAATAATGCAAGATGGAAAACATTATGTAAGGATTGCTCTAAGAGGTTTGTCAGTGCCACTGTTTGACTTTCCATAGTGAATAAAACACCATGACTCACTCTGTAAAATCCACGTCTGCTATGCTGATTTGAAACCAACCAGCAGCAGATAGAGGCTCCTTTAAACGGCACAAGTGAAGATCGTCACCCGTTTGTTTAGTGTAGAACAATTTTTTATTCTAGCAGATTCTGTTAGATTCTTTCTTTTGAGAAAATTCAACTCAAAACGTGCAACAATCAGCCAGTGGATTAAAACAAAAACACTTGGTAAGACCTCTTGAAATCATGATAAATACTATTCAAACTCTTTCTGCACTTTCAGATTATTGCACTAATTCTGATTTGAAAGTCTAACAGCATCTGCTCTTGATTAGTATATCGAACTCAAAACAAGATCGAAAAACACTTTTTGGATACATATGGCTGGGTTAAGATGCAGAATTTAATTTCTTCATTGTGAGATCAATGATATTCAATTATCAATAATATTATTGCTCTTATCTATAAAGCATTCTCTATAAAAAGATGTTTTTTTGTATTTGTCTTGTTTAGGATCTTTACCGCTGCTGTTATTATGGTTCATAAATTTTACCCTGTATACGTATACCTTTTTTTAATTTTTTTTTTTTATTGTGTGTTTATTTTTTCTGTTCTGCCCCTTTAGTCACCCGTAGGTGCTTCCCAGATTTAGGCATAAAAGGAGGTGTGATAACTGTAGGAAACAAAACCAAGTTTAACGATGGACAAAAGGAAAGAGACGCCAAGGACCTTTTGGATGGAGTGAAGTGAGTAAATCGGTCATGAAGCTTTATTGAGTTGCTTTATACAATGATCCAAAATACCACAAAAGCTCTGAAACACTGATCTCTATTTATTCACTGGATTGCCCAAAAAAAGTGAAGCTGTATGTTAGTGTCTGGTACTCCCCACTCCCACAGAGATGTGCTGTAGAAATGCCTACATGCATTATGCATATTACGTCTATTGCATTTGGCTGCAAAAACAAGCAGTTTGCTGGCTCTGGGAAGTTTTTTCACAGGTAATTTCACGGTCAGTGTGTGCAAACATAGCTGTATGTATAGTTTTTTCAAATTGTCAGATTCTTGTTTTAAATAGAGCACAAAGCAAAATATCAACTTTATGTTGCCTGTTTTACCAATTGATGGGCTTTGCAAGTGTGGAAACGAGCTCTGTGGAGTTACTTAATTTGTTCATTAATTTAGCTCTATTTTAATTCTGTCAGATTTAAAGGCTAATGCACACACAGTATAAATTGCATCATTCATGCACAATTTGCAAAGAGAAAAATACTATAGCATTGACAGACATGTACTTGTAATTCAGTCTTTATGTAAAATCTTAAAATTTGCAAGATATAATAACCATAACAATGTAATATGTGTTTATTACATATAAATCGTCTATTTAACACTTTTGGCACATCTGTATTATACTCCATTAACACATTGAGTTTTTATAATATATCGTTTTACGTGATTTATTTTATCGTACTGACTATGCAATGTGATGTGCCTATTTATTATTATACCGTATGTTCACGACCACAAGGCGCACCGTACTAAAAGGTGCAGTCTCAGTTATGTGTGCCATTAGTGTATTTAACACACACATAAGGCGCACCGGATTATAGGGCGCGGGTTTTATATACGTCCTCTACTACGTTTAAATACCTCTACTGCGTATTTAAAAATAGAGCTGGAGCAAAACTGAGTATGACTGTGCTTTATTCATGTATTTATTACAAAGTATTAATCAAACCTGGGAGCTGGCCGTAAGACAGACACATCGCAGATGACACAGAGCGCTGTGATCACTCCTCTGAAACAGTTTATTGACGCATAAATTAACTTAAAATGCAGAAATCTGCTGGCAGAATATGTTCGCTTTTATTATCCTGGT